AACAATTTTTTTTTATACACACATCATATATATTGAGAGGTGAAACTTTGTTAAGTTGAACTTGCCTAAATTTCCATTCATGCAGTTGCATAGCCTATAGTTGCAAGGTTATCTAGAAAAAATAAGCAGAGATTGAAGAAGAAGAGAAATTATTAAGCTTATTTAAAGGTTTATAAGGCAATGCTAGGCTATTAAATTTAGGGAATTTTACACAAATCTCATAGTATTAACATTTAAGAGCTAATTACATCTTATTTCCATGCTTTTTCAAATTACAAAAATTCCTTAAATTTGGCGAAATCTGGATACATCGCAAAATGTTTTTGATACATCACGTCTCGATTTCGAATACATCACTCAACGTGTTGATACATTACGTACATCTCGATACATCGCGTAAAGTGATGTATCCGAAAAATAAGAGAGGGTAGAAACTTTGTAATTTTTTTTAGAGAATATAATAAAATAAGTTGTATATTTCGGTAATTTCTTCTTAAATTTATGATGATCACACCATATCTTTATATTTTTGACGTGATATACATATATAAGACACGTACACTAAATTAGGCGCTCCTAAATGTATTGGCCAGTGGATTATAGCTTCTTCTTTTTTTACAAAAATAAAAAAGGAAAAAAAATCAATTCCAGATATTAAAATTTTTTTTAATTTCTACCCCTTGGATTAATCTTTAGATTTTATGTAAATTAAACTATGTGGTAAAAATCTACTAATCTTTTTCTCAAATGATAGTCAAATAAATAAATAGGCATGAAAGGATAATTTTGTATGTAAATTTCTTTTAATTTTCCCCCCTTAAATTAAGTTTGTAGGGTACCAAGTGCCCTTGTTTGATTGTTTTGTCTCAGCTTATTATGATTTGGATAAGTTAATTACTTAAAAAGTAAATTTAATTTATCCTCTACATTTCTAAGGGAATAAAAAAATAAGAGATAAGGGTCTGAAAAATATCCTAACTTTGGTCAAATTTGTTGTTGCAATACTAAGCTTTCATGAGGACCTATTACCTCCCTAGACTATTTAATACCGTATTTTAAACATATATATTTGCCCACGTGGACATAAAAAATAATGCAAAATTATAAATAGTAATGTGTCCACGTGGGCACATATATACCTTTAAAATACACTATTAAATAGTTCTGGGGTAAAAAATACTGTATTAAATAGTCTAGGAAGGTAATAGATCCTCATAAAAGTTTAGTATCGCAACAACAAATCCGATCAAAATTGGGATATTTTTCAGACTCTTATCCCAAAAAATAACCTTCATTTCTTGAATGAGAACAACAATTCATTTAATGTTGAAAAGTAATACATCCTCCGTCTTCTGGTAGTTGTCACGATTTTCCTTTTTAGAGTCACACGATAAGAACTTTGACTAACATGGTACATATCATGTATTTTTTTCATCATATTGATATACAAAAAAATGTAATTTAGAGTAGTACTTTTCATATAATTTTTGAATATCTAATTTTTTTGTTTAAAATATCAAATTAATATAATCTAATTTAATTTTAAAAATTAATCAAATTGACTTTTGAAAACCGCATCATAATAATTAAAAAGTGACGGAGGAAATACCCCCAACATTTTGAATTAGACTGATAAATATTTGGGTCAAAGTCAATGAGAAGAAAAAACAAAGCTACTAAAAAATATAATAAGTCGAAAAAATCCATTTTTGAAGAATTTTTTTTGGTGCAACAAAAGAAGTATTTCTTTATATTTTTTTTCCATTTTAGTTTAGGTTAATAGTAGATTTATTTTAAGGGTCCTCTGAAATGCTTATAATTCTGGATGGTTTATTGCATATTGAATTTATTTCCTTAAATTTTGAGATTGATATCTTCATAAGATAAAGAATAAAGTTATGTGTATCCATTTTTTCATATCTGACCATTTTTGGGTGGTAAATATATTTTTATTGTAATATTAAATTTAAAATACATATTTCAAAATTAGAAAAATATTCGAGTCTTTCCGAACAAAAGTATTTATTTTTCCAATAAAGCTCATTCACTTTTAGAAAAATGTTAAATTGAAAATATTATGGCACCCTAAAATCTAGGTTTAATAAAAATTCTAGATCTTGAACCCATCCTATCAGAGCAAGTAAAAATATACTAATTACAAACATTTATCCTTGTGTTACCATTAAAAGAAAATACTTTAAAAATGATTTTCTTTCTTAAACTTTTTAAACTTTATCGAAAAATATGATTGAAAGAATTATCATTTTGTTCCAAAGAGGATTAGGAGGCATCATTTCACCAATATATTTTTATGTAAGATATTCAGCGTGCGATATTCATATAATAAGTGGTATTTGTCATTCATTAATCCACCCTCGACATACTAAGTAAAAGGGCTGATCCAACTACAGACAAATACATATATAAATATAAAAAATATCGCAGAGAACGTCCGCTCTAAGAAACTGCCCTCCTACATTCTTTCCTTTACAAACTTCATAGTAAGAAATAATGTATTCTATCAAAGAAAATCTATCACTCGAAGTGCTATGAATAGAAAAATCAATCAGAGGTGGGAAATTATTTTATCGACTAATAGTGATCAAATCGACATTACTAAATCACACCTTACCATATCCGTAGATATTTAATGAGATTAATTATCTTATTTTCTATATCGAATATCTAATTCCATCATTTTAATTCAAATAATCTTAAATTGAATTAATATTCACAAGTCACAAGTGAGTCCAGAGGCAGAGCTAGGTTTGGGGTTCGTGTTCGGACGAATCCACTAGCTTTTCCATAGATCTTGTATTTGTATTAAAAATTTAATAAATATATATGTATATTAACTTGTGAACCCCCTAACAAAATTGATTGACAACTTTAGTGGTAAGAAAGGGGGGTGAAAATGCTTTTCATAGTATTGTTGTGTTTTCGAACCCCACTATTAACAAAAATAAGGAAGCATGTTTTGCGAACCCCCAAACCCCGACAAAAATACAAAACCCCTAATCTCCTAATCCTGGCTCTGTCTATGTCTCTGGTCACAACTAAACAAAATAATATTCTGTCGCTGGTCACAACTAAACGAAATAATATAATACTATCACAATTTATCTCGAGATTAATATCCCGACAAAAATACTGTCTCTGGTCACAACTAAACGAAATAATATAATACTATCACAATTTATCTCGAGATTAATATCCCGACAAAAATACTGTCGCTGGTCACAACTAAACGAAATAATATAATCTCACATTTTATCTCGAGATTAATAGCCCGACAAAAATACAACAGCCTCCTAATCCTGTCTATGTCTCTAGTCACAACTAAACAAAATAATATTCCATGTCTCTGGTCACAACTAAACAAAATAATATAATCTCACATTTTATCTCGAGATTAATATCCTGACAAAAATATTTTATCTCGAGATTAATATCCTGATAAAAATATTTTATCTCGAGATTAATATCATATCCCGACAAAAATACAACAACCTCCTAATCCTGGCTGTCTCTTGTAACAACTAACGAAATAATATAATTTCACATTTTATCTCGAGATTAATATCCCGACAAAAATACTGTCTCTGGTCACAACTAAACGAAATAATATAATACTATCACAATTTATCTCGAGATTAATATCCCGACAAAAATACAACAACCTCCTAATCCTAGCTCTGTCTCTTGTCACAACTAAACGATATAATATAATCTCGTATTTTATCTCGAGATCAATATCCCGACAAAAATACAACAGTTGTGGTAGCAGCAGCTACATTTTCTAACAGTAGATAATGCAACGTGGATAGTATTTTTTACAACGTGTCAAGAGGATTAAGCTGATGACAACCGCACCCGAATATCCCACCGACGCCAAATACCTCAATTCTACTTTACCCATTTTCCCGAAAAGTATAAATACCTCTCATTCTTCACCTTCCAATTTTTCCTTGCCCTAAAAACTCCCCCTTTTCTCTTCAGCCGCAACACTTTACTTTCATCTATAATCCATAAATTATCCACTTTTTCCCTCTCAAATCGCCCTAAATCAGCTCAATTTAGCTTTTTCACGGCTGAAATCTGTTCAATTTGAAGTTTTTCGACGAAAAATGATGAATTTGAGAGTTTATGTGAGGGTTTTGTTTGGTGGAGCACAGTGAGGTGATGGAAGCTTTGAAAGGACCTGTTTTGGTTGATGTGGATGTGTCTAAGCTTATGGGATCGGAAAGTTTTAGTGGCGGTGCTCGGAAATTGGAGAGGCCTTCTGTTGCGATTGCGCCTTCTATTGATAGGATCAGTGGTTCAGTCAGACGAAAAGGTATCCTTTCCTCCTTTTTAAAAATTTTTTGGCCGGATTTAACTTATATACCTGTCACTATTAAGAGATTTTTACACTGTTTGCCTGGTACGGCCGGTTTACCTTATACTGGGTCACCTCCCATCAATTCTAGGTTGATTGTGTAAAAAAGAGAAAAGTTCCTTTTTGGGGTTGAATATGGCTATTTTGCTCTTTACCAGTAGGAACTGAGAGTTTTTTTTTTTTTTTTTTGTCATGAAAGTTAGCTTTGGTTGTTATGTACAGTCTAGGGAGGTTTAGTGTTGTGTACGATTTTATGGGTAGATAGATGTTATAATTTACTGATAACCTTTGGATATTCTCTTGAACTAACTGAGATTGCTAAAGACGGTTAGTGGCAAGTTAAGATGTAGAAGTTTCTTGAGATGATCTTTACTGTTGATATACCCAGTCTTTAAGGGAAAATTGTTTTTATCTGAATGATGTTACTTACTATTAGTAGCTGGATACGGTCAACTATCTCAAAAAAGAAAAAGTCTGGGTACAGTGTACACGGTTGTGGAAGTTACTAACTGGACAATTATGTAGTTCATCACAGGACAGTATGAACTTACAAATGGGAAAGGTGATTTTCTAGTAAAAAGATGTCATATGTGTTCTTAGAACGGTTTACGTTGTTTCTAATTCTCGGAAACCATTGAACATGTATATGTGTTGTTTTGGTATTTCTTCTGCAACACTAAAGCAGGTAAATGTACAGACCTGAAAACATGTTAAGTTGTACTGCTAGTGTTGCATCCTATTTAACTCTCTATCCCAAATATGGTTATGTGAGATGTGATTTGTGCTGTTAAAACCTCAGAGCTAGCTTTTTGGAGTAAGATGCCCCAGAATGAATTTGCTGGTCAGCAATCCAGCCATCATGTTGAGGATGCTTTAGAAGACCACAGTGTCGGGAAGTCAAATACTATTCTTCCGCTGACGCTTGGGCTAGAGGCTGCACAGTCACATCGGAACTGTGGGAAAGTGGGGAGAAATAGTACTTCTAATTCTAAGAGATCAAGGATAATGCAGATGGATGCTTCTGTAAATAAAACCGGTGAAGACGGAAAAGGCATTTATACTGAGATTTCCGCAAATCTTACAAATTGCAAAAATGGAGGTAATACCAATTATGTATGTATGTTCTTCAATATAGTTATCCAGCCTTAGCTTTGGTTATGATAGGCATTCACAGATGACACTGGAAATGCCTATGGTTCATGTATCTTGGTTTGATTTCAAATATGTCTCCTAGTTGATGATATTTTTTGCTCAAAATCTACTCCATTATAGTGCTTCCCTGAAACACATATGGGTCAATAGCTTGCAACAGAAATCATGTGTCCAGTATTTTCAGTGTGCACCTATTTGGATAGAGCTATTATTCCTCAGCTTTTCCTTTTTTGTTTTTCCTTCAATAATGCGTTTTCAGGATTCACAGTGGCATGGAACAGGTTGAGCTCATGGTTTTATTGTTTCTGAACATCACTATAGTCCTATGATGCCTTGTGTTAGTTATGCTTGAAAACTTTAAAGAAAGCAACACCTTAGTTTGAGAAAATAAGATTCCAAAAGTTTCCCTTTCAAAAAGTGCACTTCTTTCTGATTAAGTTGGAATTAATTTGAGAAGAAGGTCATTGGACGCTTCCCCCATGCCATTACCTCACTTCTCTATAGGCTCCCCAATACTTTGTTCGTTACGGAAATGGTACACTTCTTTATCTGGGGATCATATATCTTCAAAAGCATTGCTGGCAACCTAATCCTACTCGATTCAGAGTATATGCCCCTCATTGTACTAATCTTTGAAGAGTTGTATGGATAAAGCCACTTTTGAAGTCGGTACAGGTTGGATCATCTTAACAGACTGGTAACACTAATAAAATCCTGTGTGGATAGAATCCAGAATTTCGATGCCCCAGGAAAGACTCTCCAAATATATTATCAAACCAGAAACATCATAAGATGTAAACCTGTAAAGGTAGAATGTGGAATCCACTCTGCAATCTAGTTTTCATTGCATTTTTTCTTTGGGGGCAGCTTCAATTGTAGGTAGTGAATGTGCAAATGTGCTAACTTGCTGAGTTGCTGTATATGCTGTTACCATTAAGACTATGTAGAAGCTAAATTTTATCTTCTATGACATTCAAGCTAAATTGCTTTCTGTTTCCAACTAGATATGTGGTTGTTGTGTTGCCTATGGATTCGGTTCTGACCTTCCTATGGAGCACTTTGCTGATCAATCGGCTACGATATGTTGCTGATTGTATTTATCTGTCTTATAGGGATGTTTGAACCACCAGAACAGAAACTGCATTACTTGTTTAAAGAAGCTTAAAATGTAATTGGAGTATGGCTTGTTTAAATGCTTCATGTGCTAAGAAGTAGTGGCGGAGCCAGAAATTCCGCCAAGGGTGTTCAAACTTTAAAAAAGTCTATAATTTTTTTTTTTTTAGCGGAGTGGGTGCACAAAACATTTTTTTTTACTGATGAGTGGGTGCAACCAAATTTAAAAATTAAATTACATATCACTTAATAACTAAATCATACGGAAACTTAAAATTATAAAGCTATCAATGGTATAAATCAAAACTAATGGATAAAAGTCAACAAATTTTTGCTACTAGTTGAATATACTCCCTCTAGTTCATATTAAGTGAATTGTTGAGACTTTTTCCGTGATTCAAAATAACTGAATGTTTCGAAGTTCGAGAGAATTGTCGAAACTTTTTTCCATATTTACCTTTTCTTTTAATAAATCCTTAGCTATTTTACATTTTCTAAAAAAATAGTTTAGAAATAATCAAAAGTATAATAGTGGATAATAATCTTTAATTTTGTCTTTAAAAATAATTTCTTGAGAATGTGTTATACCTAATAATTCACTTAATATAGATCGAAAATATATAGAAAACAATAAAATCTTAATTATTAGGTTAATCAATTTAAGGCTAGAAACATAAAGAAGATACGGGGCAGCTATTTCTGTGTTTTTTTTTGTTTAAAAAGAGATTGTGTTAAAAAAAGGCAACAAGTGAGGATCTTTATTTTTTGTTTAAAAAGAGAGTGTTAAAAAAACGCAGCAAGTGAGGATCGAACCACAAACCTCATACACATATATGAACACGCTTACCGTCAGACTAGCAGTCTTTGTTGTGTCTTAGGGTGTTCAATTAATTATATTTCCAGATATTAGACAGTATTCTACCTATATACACGGTATAATTTTCCGGCGAAGGGTGTTCGACTGACCACCCTTTCATAGCTCTGCCCCCTGCTAAGAAGTTAGAAATATGATTCAGATGATTGTCTTATTTTGCAATTTCACAATCAATCCAATGAAAATTTGGACAAAGTATAGTACTTATTAAGCATTTTTCCATCTTCTATTTTATAAGATACTAAAAGATAGATATTAAAGAAGTGATGGTATTAAATGATAAAAGTGGAGAGAAAGGGCCATTATCCACCGATTTTGAACCCGTGTGCCAACCGATCTTTGGAGATTTCACAGTTATCAAAAAAGAAAAAGATCAACGAAGTATTTTGAAGGATATATATCGGCCTACTTGATAAAAAAAATGTCAGCCTAATTTCTCTAATCTCACTGGGGGGACGTCCTGTCTGTACTCTGTTGAAATTGCTCCCCAGTACAAGTCAATAGAATATACTCTCAAAACATGGATACCACTTCGCAACAATGTCAAATTTGTGCTGGGAGTTGGAATCTTCTACTTGTAAGATTAAGCTGATGAAGGGCCTGCTTTAATATTTTGTACAGCATTTAATATGTACTTGGATGTTGGAGGTCTCAAGTTCGAAACCCCTTGCCAGCGAAAGCAAGGGGTTTGCCTTCTGGGTCGACCTCATCGCACCGGGCTTGCCTAGTGCGGGTTACCTCTCCTATATGGTTTGCGAGCTATTGCATAAGAGCGGGGATTTTACCCTGTGCGCACCCAAAGGGTAGCGGCTACGGGTTTCCCTTGTCATAAAAAAAAAAAATATGTCGTTAAGGTTCATAGTTCACGTGTATTATCAAAGTCACTTGCTAATCCTTTCTTCTTCTTTTGACTTGGCATGAACTATCCTGTTCAAGTCCATACGAACTCCCCTCTCTTGTATATTCCTCTTCTTGAGTAAACCTCCATCGGAGTCTTGAAAGGGAAGACATGTTATTGGGTTAAAATCCCAAGGAAATAGCAGTAACAGCAGCTCAAAAGGCTGAAACATGAAGAGCAAAATTAGGTTAAAACCCATAAGGGATGGGGCAGCAGTTCACAACAATATCAGTCCCCAAAATGGTCGAATATGGGCTGGAAATTTCAGTTTTATAATTCACTGTTTATGTTTATTTCCTCAGTATTAATTTCATCATGAATGCTAACATTTTCTGACGTTTTTTATGTACTTGGATTTGCATGCTATTAACCCTTGAAAGAGAGCGGGTTAATAATTTTCCGTACAGCGTTCATTCATTCTGTTCCTATTATTTTATGTGGTAGAAATATGTTTGAGCTATTCTATTCTCATAAGCATCTTTGAATTAACTGTTCTGTAGGGTATGTTTCTTAATGCATAGCTCTGTTTCAATGGTGCTGGTGACATGATATGTTTTTGTAATCTATTCTTATTTTGTTAGAGAGGACTCAAATGCTTAAGCAAAGGCAGAATTCTAGTGGCAAGAGAAGTGATAAAAGAAATGGAAAAGTTACCAAAAGTAATTTCTCTTTAAAGAGTTTGGTTGGCTTCGGTTCAGCTGCTGGAGGAAGAAACTTTCTCGGTATGTGTTGTTCTATCTCTTCCAAACACTTATCAGAACAAAGTGAGCATACATGTTTAGTTTTTTAGTACCAGATTTACGACCAAAGAACTTTGTTTTTCCTTTTTAAATATTTTAAACCTGCATTATCCCATGAAAAATAAAAATCAAACTTCAGTTTTCGATAATATGTTTTCGTATTTCGGTACCGAAATATACACACTAATATACATACTATAATAGATATTATGTAATTATTAATATTATATCAAATATACTCACTACTAAGCCTTTTTAAGCTTTATTTCCTTTTTTGCCCTTAGCAACTAGCAAGTTAGCATTAGGTTTTCATGTTTGTATTTCCACCGCACTTTATCCTTCTCTTCCAAATTCCAATTCCAAATTCGACTTCCAGCCTCCAGAGTCCAGGCTCCAGCGACCGCCGACCAGCAACCAGCAATCGTGACCGCCGACCAGCGACCGCGACCAGCAATTTCAACTGCTGCGATTTCAGGTTTTCAGTTTCTAGTTCTAGGTATTTGATCGTACTTTTTGGATTCCATGATTTCAACTATGAATTCCAATAAAGAATCCATCTAAATTCAATGGCGACTACATCATCCTACCCAAAACCACCAATGTTGCATACCAACACCTTTCAGATAACTCCAAGAAATGGATACCCATCACTGCCCATTCCATTTCCAACACCCCCCCTTCAATTCCAACTGCTGCGATTTCAAGTTTTCTTCTTCCATTTTCCTTTTTATCTTTTTGGTCTGATTTTCAATAAACTAATTAAGTGTGTGATAACGGAATTTAATAAACCGAGGTAACAGGGTATTAAGAAAATCGGCATGGGGTTCCGTACCTTATACTGTTAAAAGCGACTCTAAATTAACCGAACCAAATTACAACAAACCGAACTGAATTATCGGTTTGGTGTTCGGTACAACAGTTTCAATAACTGAAAACCAAAAAAACCGAAACCGAACCGCATTACCAAATGCCCTGCCCTACTTTTCACTGTTAACTACAGTTGTTAAATTTCTTCCCACATTATCTCTTTTCTTCTCGAATTCATATTTTCGACATGGTAAATTGTATAGTAGCCATGTGTTTTCGTTTCTGAGAGCTTGTGTAGAGGCTTTGCCATGTAACACAATTTATCCAAATAAGTGCACGCTCACTTCTTTCCCATCATCTGGAAATCCTTCAATATATATGCTAGATTTTTCATGAAGTTCTCAGCGTACTATTGACTGAGTCCGTACATGGTTGGTTCACTTTGTCGTTCTTGATGATTAAACACCAAATATGTAAAGCATACATTTGATGCAAATTTACTTGATAATCTTTCTCAACTAAATCTTATTAAATACTTTTTGCAGATGCATGTGTTTACCATGTTTTCTGAAGGAAATATATAGAGCTAAGCACAATTGGTATAATCAGTGTATGCAAAACACAATGTCAATGAAGACGAAATTACTAACTTACTTCCTTACCCAAAAAAAATGAAGGCTAAAGTTACTTACAACTTTAATTGAACCAACTGCCAATTTAGCAGTCATTTCTGTGACAAAATATCTCAGCTAAAACCTACAAGAAGTCTCAAGTCACTGCAATTTGTGTGTGTACCAGATGTACTTTTATAGAAGATATTTTGACTACCTAGCAGGTTGCACTTTCACACTAGCACATCACATGATGCTTGTTTTATGCAGCTTTTGGACTCGGAATTATTTGGGTAAAACATAGCAATCCATCTGAACATGTCCATACGATTGACCTGCATTCAGTAAAGTAACTCATGTAGAGTATGTCCGCACTAGCTTTTGTTGTACCCTGGCATTTACTTCTTGATTTCTACATATGTAGTCATAAAGTATGCTGTCAGTTGTCACTAGTTTTTGCTTTACCCTGGAACTTATTCGGTTGATCGATACATTCTTTGGTTATTCTTGGTGTTTAGTATTTACCAATGTGTTATACTATAAATGTTCTGAGAAAATAACAAGGGATATCTGACTCAGGAATGTATGGCTTGAAATCTGATGTCATGGATGTCACAAAAGATGTAGATGATCTGCCTTTGAGGGAACTACTTGATGGAAGTTATAAGTGTGCACCTTCTCCCAAAGATAGGAGAAACAATGCGTCAAATTCAAGTGACAGTCTCATGCAGTTGGTTAGAAATGCTAACTCCATGCTTCGATGCCAGAAGTCTGTACAGATGCAGAATTGTTCTAATGTTGATAGCAAGCTCTCTTGTCGAAATGATGGAGACAAGGGAGAGACCAGGACAGATAATCTGTCTTCTTCTGATCAGGTTAGTGTGCAAGGTCATTTGTTACCGAAATTGAATCTCGACAGTCGACTTGATCAAGTAAGCCTGCTTCATGTCCTAAGAGGATTACTCCCTTCAGCCTAAACGGAATTGTTGAGTTTGAACTTTGAAGTACAAGGTCAAACCATCTAATTTCGGTATGCATTTGGACATCGGTTACATTACTTTTTAAGTAAAATCTACATATTAGAAACTTCGCAAAAGTACTACAAATCACAATAAATTGTAACTAAAATTACCAAATAATATTTGAGAAATTTGTAGCCAAAGAAAACACCGACTATGAATACCAGTGCCAAATAAAACGGGACAATGTTTTTGGGTTCACAAGGTAAAACAAGATAATGTCAGACTGTCAGTATCCTTTAATTATAAAAACAAGATAATGTCAGTTTCTGCAAAAGCTCATAATCTATATTATTTTTTTCTTTTCTTCTCAAAGGTACAGGAATACAGTTGCAAGGTTCAATCAGTTCCGACAATGTGTCATGCTCCATTGTATACACCAAAGGATGTGTTGGAGCGCCTTGCGCTTACTCCATCCAAGGATTTGGATTCTTTACTTGTGGATACAGTCAAGTTTGCATCTTCAAGAAATAGCAGTGATCTTCGACTAAGCAAGCCATCATCTCAGCGAAATGGCTTGCCTCCTTTTCCTTGGTCACATCCGTGCTCTGGGCATCCTAAAACTGTTCCGGATTCAGCTAAATTATCTACAAATAAGATGGTTTGTCAAGGTAGATGGGTAAGAGTGGAAAACACTTTGACTCCTCTGAAAGGTTCTACTGGTTTCCTTGAGGAACTGCAATCACTCACTGACAATCACAAACTAGTTCCAACAGGAGTTCAAGTGTCTGGGCCTTTAAAAAATGAAAATGCTTCAACAAACCGCGATAGCCTTACTACATGTGAAAGGATTTCATCATCATTGGCAGCCAGCAACACTTCAGAAGTTTCACCAGGTAAATTTCTCAGGGGCTTGAGTATTGGAGTTACTGTATTTTTTTGAATGAATCATGTGCTTTTCTGCTTTCGGCATTCCACTAGAGGGATACCAGTGTACATTTTGTGTTGCATGTTCTCTTGCTTTTTCTTTGAGTTTCTATGTGGAACCTGTAGGGATAATCAAAGAGTTATTTTATTTTAAAATCTATCCATCACATCAGTGACTTCATATGATCTATCTGTATTCTCTGAGTTTCTATGGAATATCCATCAGAAGAGTATTAGATTTTTTCCAAATCATACTGTATGATATCAAGAAATATACAGTACAGGCTCATGCATTGATGCACATTTTCTATTTAGCTTCCAAGAAGTGTTGAATCTTGACAAAACTATATTTCATGCATGCTGTCCTAGACATTTTTATCCTTATGAATCTCATATTATATCTGATGATAGTAGCTGAATCTCCAGGGGTATTGGCTGCTGCTGAGACGCTTTGCAGGATTGCTACACATTCAACGCTTTGCAAGATTGCTACACATTCGTTGAAGCAGAACACTGAGGTAACAACCAAATCGCTGAAGAAACCTTCTCAGAAGAGCGGTGGCATGAGAGCATGTAAATTGACTGAGAAACCTGAAAATCAATTCATAGCACCAAAACCAGTGGTGGTATCAAATAGTCTGGTTGAAATTGCTGATGAGATACTTCCATCAAAGAAGCTTCGTCTTTCAGTTAACTTCAAAAAACCTGATAGGAAAGGACCGATACCTTGTTCAACTGAATCAATAAGATCAACTCCTGTCAAATCTTTTAGGGAGTCTGAAGGTTTCAGTAACAGCTTTGTAAATAAACCATGTACAACGTCCCACTATACTAGGGTGATGGATAAGGCTTATAGTAGTAGTGACCAGAAGCCGAGGAAGGTAGCCAATGGAGCGGAGCCAAGGAGATGACAGAATGTTGGAGTGAACTCATTATGCAGTGAATCAGACAAGAACTTTTACTGTTGCATTTGTCTATTCCTTCTAACTGCTGTTAGACATGCAAAATATGGTAGAATTTGTATAGCCTGTCACATGGAAGAAATGAATGTTGTAATCTTATGCTGCGTTGGGTTTAGGGTTTAGACGGGGGACCATTGTGCTTGTGCCATTACATGTAACATGGATGCCAGATACATCGATATGCTTTCAGCATTGCCTCAGTGTACATCATTGATGAGGCAATATGGTAGAAAAGTTCTCTCTTTAGCCTCTGGTATTCCGGGGACACATTCGTTATGTGTGTGTAAATGTATTCATTATGTGATATCCATGATCAGGACATTTTCATACTCATTCTGTGTGTTGTAGATTCTTATAGCTCATCTTATTTTGTCTCGTCTCCCTGTTTTTCTATTTTTCTAATGGTTGATACTGGCAATGGTTTCGCTCAATCTGCTTATGGATAACATATTTGCCTAGATGACAATTACATTTTACTTTAAACCCTTATTAGTTTTACCTTCTGCTGATCGTTGTATGCTAATTTTATGAAAAAATTGGCTGAAGCCGACAACATATGCTTTCAAAAGGTTTAACCTGCGAAATCTCAGTGAACGTATTGGAGTAGGAGAACCAGACATATTTTGTTTCTAAGAGGTGACCCAAATAAACAGTTCTAATAACAATCCACTTGTTAATTGAAATAAAAAAAAAGATTGTTGAATCATGATTCAATGATTTTCTCTTTCGGGCTAATAATTTTTAAATGACGAAAGATTACCGCTGCATGAGACTTGACACTCCTCCTTTTATACTATCTCATATCTCACCTTAGTGCTAACAGAGGCTTCAAGTCCGAGTTATAGCAAGCCAACAATCTCCATCCATTGCGAAATTCAACTATGTACTTTCTTTTCCTACTCCAGCTTGTACAAGATCCTTGGAGATGAACACTTATCTCAATTATACTAGGAAAAGAATAGAATATGTTTAAAAAGAAAATAAACAATATGTTTATTAGAAAAAAAAGACATTTTTAACCAATTAAGTAATAATAACAATGTTTTTAATCAAACTATTAACATAAAACATTTTATTCAATTTCATATATTTTTTGACACTTAACAAAGAATAAAAAGGAAAAATGGCCAAAGGAAAAAAGATTTTAGCTTTCCTTAATTGTGAGGGGCGACCCGTTATAAAATAGAATAAGACAATAAGACATGCAGTTTTATTACAACAATCAGGTAGTAGAGGATACAAATGAGTATGTATCACTCCCATGTCTCGAAACAAAACATGAATATGCCGTTAACTAATATTGTGTTTGATACATTTAAAAAAATAAGTAAATTTATTACTTATCTTTTAATGCTTGATAAGTAAATTTTAAAAAACATCTTATATTTAATATGTATATGTATATGTATATCTAATAAATATTGAACTTAGAATGTATGAAATACTGCTCTCATGTCAATATCCACTCATCATATAATACACTTTTAATCACCCAAAAATAGGACAAGAAAAAACAAAATTAATTAAAATCACTCAAAAAAATAAAAATTAAAAAAGATTAAAAAAAAGCTATGCGTCTGCCGGGAGTCGAACCCGGGTCTATTGCTTGGAAGGCAATTATCCTAACCGTTGGACTACAAACGCTTGTTGTCTATTATTAGACACATTTTGCTAAATAAAGAAAAAACCAAAGCTTAATAACAATGCATACATAAGAATCTAGAGAAAATGATCAAAATGGTCCTTGATGTATTGGTGTTGCTTTATTTTGGTCCTCAATATATTCTAGGTGATTGAAATAGTCCTTCATGTATGACAAAATGTGTTCAATTTAGTCTTTACCCTAAACTTAACATTTTACCCCCAAAAACTGTTAAATATAACAGTGGTCATGTATGACAAAATGTGTTCAATTTAGTCTTTACCCTAAACTTAACATTTTACCCCCAAAAACTGTTAAATATAACAGTGGTCATGTATGACAAAATGTGTTCAATTTAGTCTTTACCCTAAACTTAACATTTTACCCCCAAAAACTGTTAAATATAACAGTGGTCATGTATGACAAAATGTGTTCAATTTAGTCTTTACCCTAAACTTAACATTTTACCTCCAAAAACTGTTAAATATAATGGTGGGCCCCACCGTTATATTTAACAGTTTTGGGGGTAAAATGTTAAGTTTAGGGTAAAAGACTAAATTGAACACATTTTGTCATACATGAAGGACTATTTCAATCACCTAGAATATATTGAGGACCAAAATAAAGCAACCCCAATACATCAAGGACCATTTTGATCATTTTCTCTAAGAATCTAACCGACGCACAAATTGTGTGAGATTTCTTTTTATTTTATAAATTGGTGGATCAATAATTTGTGAATTCTAAAGTGTAACCTTTAGATTTATTATCAAATAAAAAGAAGTGTTATACAACTTGTGTTAATTATGTGTGGCACACAAATTAAAGTTTCTCATTGGACAAACATATGCTCGAGTATAGAGATCATTTAAGTACTTGTTCAAATTTCAAACAACAACTTTGAGTCCTTCAAGTTCTTATATATATACACAACAAAGGTTAGGCTGAATAGATACCGAAACACCTAAAGTAAACATGATTTTTCATCAAGATACCTCAACGAAAACATGTTTCAATTGAACACTCAACCTATTATAAACCGTCCTATTAGAGACTTTTTTGACAAATCCACAAGAAAACTAAAAATGAGTGTAGTACAGTCATTGCTGATGTAGCAAAATACAGAACTAGTTGATTACATATGGCGTTTTTTGAGTTAGTGGAAGTACTTTTAAAGGAGAATATGAATATTTTGTAGGTAAATATGGGGTGAACGGAGACAATCAACATGAAATGTCACTTATTAATACGAGAAAAAAGGCTCCACAAAATAGCAACCAGAATCCTTGTATTTTAAAAAGTGATAATTACAGCTCAAAAAGATGAATAGAGCAAACTGTCAAGAATGAAAAACAGTCATTATGATTCAAAGATCAATGAAAGAGCCCCTACTTAATTCTCTGGAACTGATGCTACATCCCTCTGTTGTGAACTATTTGCATACAAGTTATCATAATACTGTTGCACCACCAGGACTGATGCTGTTGTGGTGTATTCCGGTGAAGTCAACAAACTCCCGACTGGCCCGAGTTCAGGACAATCAATCCTCTGGCTCAATGCAAGAGGTAGTACGCCATCAGGCCTTCGACCAACCAGAAACAAACTGCAACGACTGTAATCACGTAGGATAGTAATTGTTTCCGACACATTTCTAACAGTCTTCTCTTCATATTTGATGGAACTGTCATCTGATATACTCGTTCTGAAAGCAGCGAGAAACCCCTCATCAGCAGAGACTAATGTTGCAGCAGAGGTGCCTTCTGTATGTATTGTTACTATCTCTTCTGAGGAATCTGACTCCACTAGGAAGCGAATGACTGTTAACTCGACTCCTGGATGCTCAGCCATACGAGTCCCATAAGCAAGTGCTTCACGATCATCATGACCCCCAAAGTATAGAACGATAATAGAGAAGGAAACATTACTTGCAGATATCTGTGCAGTACCACCAAGTCCGCGATCAACAAATATCCCCACTGAACATGAAGCATGTTCAAGAACCCTCCTGTTAACCAAGTGAAAATCAGGTCGAGTTGATTCAAATGAGCCGTCAAGCCTCAGATTCTTGTGATATGGTAAAATTATCATTGCTATATTTTTCTTCTCAGCAGTAATGCAAATATCTTCATGCATGTCAGAGAGTGATGAGATTGATGTCATTGGCCGCACAGAGACCTGACTTAATTGTTGGAAAGCCTCGAACGCCACAACAACGTGGTTAGCTGACCGCTGACCTTTATTCCAGAAGGGCAAGCCATTATGTCTAGCCTTGTGTACCATTAAGATAGCTGATGGTCTCTCCGAGAACTCCATGAGATGCATTGCGTATACAGAAAGCCTTTCTCCCCTCTCGGTTCCACGTGAGGCCTCAAGGAGATTAATGACCGATGGAATATTTCTAGAACTACGGAAGCAGGTTAGTATTCGCAGTTCAGTATTCGGATTTTTCCTTTCTATTCTCCTATGTTTATAGTCGCCTTTGCTTAGCATTTTTGCTGGTTTGTAAACAGCCAGAACCAGAGGTGTGGTGATAAAGGTCGTGAAGAGAGCCATCATAACCATGATAGCAAAAGTCTGATCATTCAATACCTGCATGAGACATAGCGTAAACAATTTAAAGCTGAAACAGACGACCTGATTTCACAAAACAAATAAGATGCTAGACGAGCATTACCTTTCGATCTTTACCAATATTAAGGACAATCAGTTCCACTAGTCCCTTACTGTTCATAAGAAATCCAAGAGCAAGAGCTTCATTTTTGGGAATCTTCCAGAGAAGGGAAACTATAAAAGTACCAACAATCTTCCCGAAACAAGCTGTAAATATGACCAGAACTAGCAAACCCCATGATTGTATACCTTGGATTGTAGCAACGTTCGTTTTTAGACCACTTGAGACAAAGTATAATGGGAGGAAAAGACCAGATACAAGGTCCTCAACTTTTTCAACCAGTTCACCTGCAAAAGGCCCCTCTTTTGGAAGTAGAACTCCAATGACGAAAGCCCCAAACATCGCGTGAATCCCAATAACATCCGTGACAAGTCCAGCTGCAAGTACAGCAGCTAAAGTAGCACATATATACAGCTCATCCACAGGTTCACCTTCGTGGCAACGTCGCGAAATCCATTTAAAAATTGGTGGCACAATAAGATAGGCGCCAATGACAAAACCACAACCACAGAGGAAAACCCAAAGTGGCACAACAGGAGATAGATTATCACCAGATAAGGCAATGGCAAGTGCAAGTAAAATCCAAGCTGCCACATCATTAATTGCTGCCGCAGACATGGCCATTCGCCCAACATCAGTAGTTAAGAGTTTCAACTCAGCCAAAATGCGTGCCAGAACAGGAAATGCAGTTATGGAAAGCGCTACACCCATGAATACAAGAAATGCGGTAGCATTTACACCTTTATTTATAGTTCCTCGAAGAATAAATGAAGTGCCGATTCCCAAAGCAAACGGAAGAGTAATTCCTGTAACAGCAATGGCAAGGACTTTTTTCCCACTCTGACGCAATGACTTGACATCTAGTTCTAAGCCAGCTAGAAATAAAAAGAACAGGAGACCAATGTTTGCCAAAGTGTCTAAGACGGTGATGCTCTTCGGTGGGAATACTGCATTCAAATAGCCTTTGTTTCGACCAAGAGCTGATGGTCCCAGCAATATACCTCCCTGTATATCAGGAAC